GAGCAATCGTACGGTTAAACGCAGCTTGTCAATTTTATTACCCACGGAAATTACAATCGATGGTAGGAGCTGTGTCTACCGTCTTCCATTCATGTCTCTGTCTCGATTATAATTCTGTTTGCTGATTGTGGATTTATTTTGTTACGTTGTAACGTTTATTTTCATCGGTGTCTCATGTGATAGATATAATGGAGAAGCATGATCATTCGGGTCACTCGTTCATGAACAAGTGGTAATTAAGCGAGCGTCACGTAGCACGCGCTCCCTTTCGTTCCTGCCACGAGCGACGTTGACATAAAGCGTTCCTTCCCACTGTATCCTACGCGAATGACTTATCGCGTAATGAATCACTATCAGTTTAGCCAACCAGATGATCATCGATGGATTACCAAGCATAGATCGCGCTTCTTTTTCCCTCTCTGCGGTAATCCCGCATCGCTCGATGCGACATTGCGACGACGCCCACGTTGCCGACGATTGACTTCTGAAACTGTCACAGCTCACCGAGCTTGCCGTGATGTGCGGGTACCTTCGATTTTATCATCTCTCCCCTGTTGACTCTGCGATCTATAATAAGACAAGGGTGCACATTGTGCGTGTAATACCGCAGACTATGTAATTGTCGTTCATTAAGGGATTAATTGAATATTCGGAAGCGAGTACATACACATATGCACACACACGTATATATATCTACACGTGTCGTAATCAAGGTAAGCACCTTTTGTGAGAAATGGAGGCGGGCACGCAATTACCAGTGAAGAGTTGCTAATTAATGAATTAATTAACTGCCGGTATCTAGTGACCTAAATATCTCCGAGACTCTTCATACAAGCGGGTCTATTTTCACTCGCCAATTTATTGATTCATTATTCAAAGTGCCGAAATTATTTAGTTCATTCACTCTTCTAAATCTGACAATCTAAATTATTTGAATTGCAGATTAATAACGAAATTCACTTTTCATTGTTAAACGATAATATTTAACAGAGTGACAACTTTGATTTTCATATTATTCTTTAAAACGCGTACAATTTAGGAATTCGATTAAATTAATTGCACATCATTGCATCTTGTTTCAGAATGTTGCGTTGCAACAGCGAGTGCCAAATGCTCTTTGTAGACGATTGTAGACACGGAGGCACCTTTCATTACGTCCGACAATTGCTCGAGTTCAATAATGGCGATATTAATGCGGGAACACAGCGTCGTCGATCGTAAATTAGATATTCGCATTGACGTCGACGAACATTCATTGTCGATCCATATTACCGGCTTTGACACGAGACTTTTAATAGTGGCAGAATTTAATAACGCGAATCTCTTCTCTTTTTCTCTCTATAAAATTTTATATTCTTGTCACGATAATATCCATAAAATGAAAAAGCTGTACAACGTCGTAACGTGAAAATGAGTTTAAAATCAATTATCTTAAAATTATTGTTAATCGATTGCGCTGCGCGTAACACAACAGTTGAGCTTTACTTTACTAATATCGTTACCATTTATTACAAATTTATTGCAATAAATACAAATGATAGCTGTATACTTAAGTGCTGCATATATAATCAAATTATGTAGCATGCTTTTATTTTGTACTGCGCTCGTCGCAGGAAATTCATAATAACTGAACAATTGTGAGAGATTCCGATAATTGATTCGACCTCGTTTTAAACGACGCGACTTTACGTAACGACGTGTTCGCCGTTTTATTTAATTATACAATATCTAGTTCGGCGTTTAGTGAAACATTTTTGCTGGCTGTAACGAATGGGTTGCCACTTGTTACCCGAAATAGACGCGTAGTTACTCAGTCCGTGAGCCGACATTCCCTGGGAACGTTGCCTGCGAACAATCGTATATTTACGTACGTACATACGTACGTACGCGAGTTTAATTATCCGCAGTTGACAGGTACGTACGACGTGTACGGTACGACGTGCCCCTGCGCGATTGTCTCGAGAGCCAATTTGTGAGGCTCGGGAATGAGCGTGGTTGGTTGGTCCCGCTGTCACAATTAAAGTCGTAAAATCGCCGACTAATAGCCTTGTTACGTTAATTCAGTGTAATGTCGCACGGTAACGATAAACGGTATATAGGTATGCAAGAACATTCGCGTGGGGGAGGGGGGAGAGGAGAGGGAGGGAAGTGCGACGGGACTGGCATAAATTTAATTTAACCACCTCGAGGTCAGCGCGTCGCGTCGCATCGGGAGAGGAATAGGGGCCTTGCGCGCGTGGAATTGATTGGGGCCCCGAGATCCTCTCTCTCTCTCTCTCCGGACGTTGGCGGACGTGTGGTGGCACCCGATGATTTACCTCTCTTGAAATAAGACTCGTGAAGATCGTCGTGTATTTGCGATCGAAGAACGGGATACCCTCAGTGAATTCTACGAGGCTTTATGTGCTCGAGCATTGGTTACGAGGATATATATCGATTTACGATGTTAGAGCGCAAATACCATGCACGTATTGTGTCCCTCTGACTCGTTGAGTCCCTCTTTTACGCGGGTAATTAACGCGCGTTATTTACGAACATTTTAGTATTGGTAAATAAGGAGATTTAAATATTATGCCTTCGAATAGATTGCACAACAGGTTTATTACGTCTCTAACTAGTTTCTCTGTCCTATTACCATTAAATTTTATCGGAGACGTTATAATTAGAATCATTGCTATATATGTGAAAAATAAGAGCGTTATTCCATTTTATAATAACTCGTTGTGCTTTATTTTCTGCGTGCCAACCACGTGAAAAAAATCTTTATTGCAGACGTATCTGTTTCTGGACATTTCAAAGAGTTTGCAGTATTAATTTCATTTTCTCCCAATGTAATAATACGTCCGATTATATGCGCGGTACAGTAACCTATTATATAAAATAATTTTATGTAAAACCGGTGGAACACTGCGTGTACTAGCTGGCTCGTTGGTGTGGTAATTACAGCCAACGCAGCGCGGTTTATTTTCCCTTTCGGGATCGTCTAATCAAGAGGGAGAAAGAAAGAGATAGACTCTTTCGCTACGTTCATCCGGGCACAAGGGAATGGGTAAAAGCTATCGTATTAAAGTCGTTGCTGTCGCAGTACGGCGTCTCATTTTGCGTCCGAGAAAAAGGATTAAATCGCGGTTTCCGCCGCCGGTCGCCGGTCGTGATTACCTCGCGTGTAACGGGCGGTATGTGACGGGAAATAATGCCGTGGAAAGCGGCGGCGGAGCGTGTATGCACTCTCTCGGTGACGAGGATTATTTAGGTAGTGATGCAAACACCTTGCGTATATGCCTCGCACACATACATGTAATCGTACGACGTAACCGCAACAGTACACTCGAAGGCACCGAGCGAGCGTGAATAAAAAAAGGGATTAAATTTTCGCGCGTGATACATATACCTGCAGCGGTTTCGTTTTGCGAAGAATGCGGATGACTTTCGAACGGAGAAAAAAACTTTATTTTTCAGCATATCGCGTACGTTTGCGGTGTCTCAGTAATTTTTATTCGGTAATTTTTTGTAGGTATCTCATTTATGATCCATAATTTTTTGCCTTTAAAAGATTTATCTTTCCAGTAAATGTCACAATTACTGCTATTTCTTCTCAATAAAAAAAATTTTATTGATTCGGTAGTAAATTATAATTCTTTAACCTCCGTGTATGTGTTTATCACGACGGTACATCTTTGATCTGCAATATTTGTAAGATGGGTTGTGTCACAACGCAGACCCCCGTTTCTCTCCTTGATATTGCGACGAGCGAGTGGGCGTGATTAGCTGGTAAAGTGATCATCGCTGATGAGCGTCTCGCCAGAAGAGGAATGAATAATAGGCCAGTCGCAGAAAACACGTTCTGATTAAGTTAACCGCCGGTGTGCGTACGTCGTTACATCGACGCGACGACTCGTTGGATTCTCGATGATACAAGGCCGACCGCCGCGCCGTCGCAAGTGCTATAATCTCGTCGCCGTATTCGGATCGTTCTTAATTAACCTGCCAGGTACCCTCTCATGCGACGAATTCGCGAGCGTCTCTTTTTGGCAAGACTCAGTGATCCGCATCTGTCACACTCGCGCGTATCCTTGAATATTACCAGTCTTTGTCGTGAAATATGTATTTAGTTTGCCCTACTCGGGTCTTTTAATTTTGTATTTTTTAATTCAATTTAATTTAACTTAATCTTTAATTTGAAAATAGTGCTGTAAATGCCACGTGATATGCATGCCCCCTTTTAGTTGTTAGTAATTACTTCGATCGCCATGCGATCGATGTTCGTTGCGACGATTGTCGGAAAAACTCCACGACAATTAACATTTCGCGCAGCGGGTTTTACGAATATTTCTTGTATATCAAGCGGTATGATCTTATTTACGACACGCTGGTAATGGCATCGTGTTTGCGATCGTAAATTGCTGAGAAACGTCTCTCGAGCTGACAAGTAACACGGAGCCCGCGCACGGCCATTACGGGCATCGGCCTGCGGCCTTCCAACTCGAACGCGTTTTAACTTCGCTCATAGCGTCGCGCATCGATCATGAGATTCATGAGCGTCGTCAGTCTGAGGCCATCGACTTCCTAAGTCTTTTCTTTCACCTCTCCTCTTTTCACCTCGTACGGTTCCTTCTCGCTCACTGGCATCGATATTCACCAATTATAGTGATTCGCTCGATGAAATCAGACAGTGGCAAAGGAAATCATCTTTATTTTATGCAGGATATTACGCTGCATATTAATATGCTAACTGTGAATAATAAATGCCACATTCCATACACCGGTTAGTCAGATTTAGTCGATGAAAGATTCTTAGCGAAATTCTTGATGATTTCGACGATCCGCCTCCAAGACAATATTCTAAATTGATGCCCCTAAGTTTTGTGAGAATATCAAAACTTTGAGAGACATTCGACTTTCTTCATGTGTTTGAAATGATTTAAAGTTAGCTCGTTAGCTCATCACATTGGCTGCGATACGATCAGACGAATAACGTGGTATGCACATTCTTGTTTCAGGTTGCGACGCGACCTTGGAGCCCGGATCAGGGCAAGACGCGGGAGATGACCAAGCTCTGCAACCATAAGAGGAAACTTCTGCTGCCGGCTGCAGCCGCCAGTCCTGTTGCGTCCTGTACGCCGGCGGTCTCGTCGTCGACTTTATCTTCTGGCCCGACAACGGCCTCGATTCACGCGAACGCCGACTCGCCCACGTCGCCGGATAAAGCCAGAAAAGGTAAGAACACGAATGTTACCAGAATGATCGGATTATACTCCGGCTCGAACGAAAGAAATCGCTACCGGGCAAAAAGCAACATAATGAAGAAGTATATAAATAGTATAAGAAGTATATTAAAAGCGCAAGACGAAAGCTGTTGTTTTATAACATATGAGTTTAATAAGTTGAAATTGTTAGTAAAGAAAACAGAAACATAATGAAAATCAAATATGAATGGATAATGTAATATTTATAATATTATATTATCCATTCTTAATAACATCATTTTTTATTCACAATGATTATATATTCTATAGAATAAGTATTTGCGTCAAACTTCTGGATTTTCTTTCGAGTTAGACAATCGAATGAGCCTGTGATCGATCAAAATCAAGAGATTCTTTCATCCTCGAAATTCGTTTTCATAATCCTGAGGATTTCGACAGGTCAAATTCTATGGCAAACTTTCTCTCATACCCACACATATACACGTGTCGCGGAACTTTCTCTATCGATCTGGCGTATTAACAAAGTTTTCTGTCAAGTCGGACGTTGAACCGGCGCCATAATCGCCGAAACGTTTATTCACCGTCGCGCGGAAACACGTGCCAACTTTTATTGGAGGAAGACCAAAAGTTTTTCCACCCCGTCAAGTGAGCCGTGATCATTAAGGAAAAAAGTCGACGATAGAAGAAGGACGACGAAATTGCGGCATTAGCGAAGTCGGTTCACTCACTCCTGCTCTTTCTTCGCTTTCCCTCCTCCCACTTCAGAATCGTCCTTTCTTCACTCACTACGTTGGCATTAAAGCTCAAGAGAAGTGCGACAGAGGGCGAAAACGGGGCGCAGGGCAGGGCGGAATGATGTATCACCGTAGCCGCCAAACTCTCCACCGAATTTCATTACCAAATCCCATAACCGACGTATCCCATCCCATCGCGCCGTCACTTCTTTTCCCACCCCATCTCATCCCACAATTCACCACCTTCCTTTTTCCCTTACTTTCCGCGCCGTTAATTAAGCGGCTGTTGCAGGACGCGACGGACGCGTTCCCGGCGTACCTCTACCTCTACCTGTACTCCAAATTGCGTCGGCTAGAAATTATAATCCGCTTGTAGATTGAAAGTCGAGCGCGGCCGTGTCGGCGACCAACGGTTATTAAACTTTCACCCTGCGTGCGTCGTAACTGCGCGTTTTAATATTATTCACAGCGGGGCTGGAAACACGCTTCGACGTCGAATTATTCGAATACAACGCGAATATATTTAAACCATAAATATATTTAGAAAAAATTAATTTGTATATTATCAAATCTTTCTAATATTATGGACTTTTATTTTTAGTTTCGATTAGATTAGCGTTTATGTAGCATATAATATTGCATTCTTTTTTCTACGATTTTTAGAAAGCTTGGTCTATAACGAATGTTTTCAGTAACAAAAACGAACCGATTTGCTGCATCCACTCGCAAATAGATTAGTACAATGCATTTGGTTACATATGGGCGCACTCGTCTGCAGCATCGTAGGAGGGAGGGGGGCTGGTTAGCAGTTTCGCGTTTGCATCTGGAAATCTGGGGTTGAAGTTTAACTCAAGTTTACGGTCGGTGTGCGAGGTAGGGTAATACGTATACGTCGGTCGCGGTGTTTTTATGGGACTTTATAGGGTCGTTTTAACATCGACGCGCGCGCTCGCGCCGCTTCGATTCCAATTCTCCGGTAATATAAAACGACACGCTCTGGATGGCAGGCTTGGCTTTTTTCCCAACTTTTTCTCCGGTACGCCGTCAGGGGTTGCTCGCATTTGGGCTCGCGATCTGCGCAAACACACACATACACACACACACACACGCACACACACACACACACATCCTACACAGGAAAGAAGAACGGTGAAAGGAATAAGTGGAGAGGTTCGAATGAATCTTTATCGTCGAACGTCGAGCTCCAAGTTTTCATAACGCGCTCACTCCCTGCTGGGAGTCGATTTAATTCCCCCTTTTTCTGATTTTCAGTTTGACTTGCCGGCTTAAGAGGGAGGATCTTCGTTTACGTACGATGGATTATATATCGCGTTGGGAGTAGGAATGATTGAAAGTCTGTTTCAGTTTTATCGGTCACGAGAGCGAAGTAGAAATTGCAATTATTCGAAGTAATTTATCAAAAGTAAAAGTTTTGCAATACGTTAATTGTATTATTAACTTCTTTCGCGTAATACAAAATATCCAAATTCTAATTATTTACACTCACTACGTACTAGATAAAATTTTTTATAGAAATGTTTAAGCAATTGTTTGCGATGATTTAAAATACAATACTATTAATCATTTTAAAAGCTCTCTACACATTTAAATAAGGGCAAATAAAATATTAAACGGAACGTTTTCACAGTATATTAGATAAAATGTAGTTCAGTCGTTCAAGGCTTAATTAACATAATTAATGCCAATCTCATTACCCGATTGGAAATGTCAATAGGCATGTTTAACGAGAATCATCACGCGTCATGTAATTGTTAAATCGATCGTAACACCAGTCTGTTCAAACCTAGGGCGCGGTTTACGCGATCTTTTGTCGCCCTAAACAATTTCCTCCGTAAATAGTTTCCCCCGGAGCTCAATCGATCACTTTTGTCCTCGGCGTCGACGTAGTACGCGGCAGTTACAGTAACATCCCGAAAGCACCGAGAAGCGATTTTACGGGCAACGAACTCCAATTCACCTCCCTATGCGACAGCCACCCTCTACCGAGTTTTCGTTGCAGGTGGCAAACACTTAAAAATTCTTTCAATGTGGATTTCGCTGCACGCGAGTGTGTTGGTTTTTGTTGCCTACTGAGGATATCGTGTCGTGTAAACAGATTAGTACTACCCGTCTGACAGGTTTATTGGGTTTGTATTCTTTTCTGAAGATGTCTGTTTACATAGGATGTTCCTACGAGAAATAATCTTCTGTTAAGAAAGTAAGTATAGGGGTGAAATGAAGTAAACACAATCCATCCCACGCAAGATGAAAAGGCAAATCTCGGTTAATGAGATATCTACAATTTAAGATATTGTATAAATGAAATGAGAAAGTGAAAGGGAAAAAAGATCTTGTATAAATTTTATGTAAAGAATTAATATGAATTAGTCCAATTGCATTAAGAAAGATAATAAATCTTAAAACATTTCTTCGGCTATACTCGCCGTAGCGATTCGACGCGACTATCTCAGATCAATCCGCCGGTTTGTACCTTCTTATCGTGGCGACGATCAATAAAGTCCCGGGAAGAGGAAAGAATCCGTTCTCCCTTCGCTGGCTGTGACGATGATGACGACGACGATGATGACGAGAACGAGAATGTTACCGCGACCGGGTGCGGCTGATGGTAGAGGTGGCGATGGTGGTGGATATAAAAAGAAGAAGCGTAAAAGAAGCTAGGCTATAACCCCTCTTCTGGAGGGGTTGCTGGGGGAGAACGATGATGGTAGACACCGAGTTGATAAGGGTTAATTTCGTACGAGAGGAGAGCGAGCCACGATTGCGCGCAAGCAGGAGAAGAGAGAGAAAGAGAGGCAGCGGAGGCAGCCTTGCGGTCCAACGACTGCGTCCGGTTGTGATTCTTGCGCCTGCCCCGGGAGTGATGTTCGTTGCCTCGGTGGAGGATCCTTATTCTTCTCTCTGTTTTTCCCTCGGGGCCACCCTTGCACCCACTTCCGTCGGTTGGTCGCGCAAGCGCATTTCGATCCCTTTCTGCTCAGTCCGCATCAACGCCTTGGCGTAACGTAACGGCGTGATCTCGACGGATTTTTATGCTCGCATTGAAAAAAGTCATTTCGCAAGACTGAAGATTATAGAACTCGAGAACGTAGACTTACGACGTTCGTCTGCCTTGTAGACGTAGTTACAACGACCGACGATGCCATCAGCGTTTCTTCTTAATGATGCTGCGTCAGTGAGACCAATATGGAGTGGATCTATCCTGCAATCTTACGAATGTCACCTTTACAGGTGCGGTATTCTACCTCGTGCGGTACCAAGTGAGAATCCTGAAGGGATTTAGAATTTTCCTGTTGTAAGCGTGCATCATACACATGCATGCAAATTCATTCAAATACTTTAACGAAGCTTTTAAAATTTACCTACACCTTTGTTAAAATTCTTTCTGCGCTATGTGATAATAAATTGCATTACGTATAATTAATTTTAGAAATTTAATGTTTCAATAAAAAAAATATATTTTTAATTAAGGTAATAAGAAGACAAAGACAGACAGACAGACAGACTCATCGTTAGTATAAATTGAGTTTCATAAAATTGGTCGTTTATTATGAGCAAACTAGCAACGAATGTCTTAACGAATGTGCTTAAGTGAGGAAGGTAGCGTTTGGAAACAGCCGCAAACGACGAACTACATCTTCCAATTACTACGTCGCCCTCTTTCACCGGGGTTTAACGACGAGAACGTTTATTGCTCGAGCCATTGACTGCAGGCATTCCAAGTCGACGGGGAGACTTTACGCGTTCGCGTGAAAACCCCGGAAGCCACAAAATGGATCCAAAGATTTTACGCAAATCTACCGTTCTCCCCTTGAAAATCGGGTTAAACTGCCGTCGTCAGAACGGACAAGTTACCTTACTGCCATCGTAGATTCATTACTATCCTCATCACCCTCCTCTTTTGCTTTCGCTTCTCGTCGTTTTCATGCTTCTCCCTTTTCGTCGAGAATTATTCGGCTCCTCTTCCCTGCATCAATCGGCGCGCATGGAGAATAATTATTCTCTGTAGGCTTACAGATAAAAGATCCCCTTAGCCTATTGCCCCGCTGAATACCTTATCCCTCCTGCTTTCTAACACGTCTCGTAAATCACGGTAATTCGGAAGTGTCGATGGCTCCCGTGGCGGTTCTTCGTGAATGTGCGGATAATACAGCGTTTCAAAAGCATTATAAATGAAGTTTCGTTTCAGAGAAATCTTTCAGAAATTAAAATATTTTCGATTTTTGTATTTATATAATTTATTTTAACATACAATAATATTTATCAGTAACACTAATATGATACTTTTTTCTATATCAATTTTGTTATTATGTAATTTATTATTCGCCGAATAGTAATTTTAATATCTGTCTTATAAAAATTTAATGTGTAATTTTCAGAATTTTTCCAAATAAAAATATATGGTCAGTCGTACTTTAAACCTATATTTAAATTATTAATACATAAACATTAATATTTTCTATTACAAATTTTTTTTATTAATTTTCTATACCTTTAAAGCAATTTTTAAACAATTTTGAAGTTGTACGCAGAAATAAAATGGATTCAAATATGTATTGATTAGAAAGAATCTTAATTAGGGAGATAAATTTATTTATAATTTGAATTATGAATCCGATTATCTGTACCTGTTGCAGAATAATAGCTTATCGCGATAATTAATAATTTTTATTATATGAAAAATATTTAATACTGCTGCTGTAATATCGTTCTAATTATTTAACAAGTTAATTACATTGGCTGAATTGATATTCTGTCACGCTTCTTGATCTATTACCGACGATATTTTCATTTCGCAAAAGATGTTTTCCGGAATGATAATGAGACTGAGGGAAGGCCGACACTTTCAGAAAGCATGGGGAGTTAAAGTACGGAAATGTCGGGCTAAATACGATTTAACCTTGCGGCAGGATTTCAAATGGAACACTTGCTTCATTAAGAAGCTTGGAACGTCGTCTGAATAATAAGCAAGAAAGCCGGCGGCGTGGGATTAGGGCGAATAAGTCGTATTTTAATTTCTACAGCGCCAAGGACTTATCGTCTTTCACAATTGCGCTCCGAACAGGAAAAGCCTTTGTCGATTCAATTTCAAATAGATGCCGGCGAATCGAAGGTAATTGGATTCCGGTTTATTAAGAGATACTTTATTGGTGTGCGCAGATGGTCTCAGCAAGAAGAAGAAGAGGAAACTAGGAGGCATAGGCGGCATTTATTCCGGCGTCTCGGTTTCGCAACTTCTGGCACAACGGGAGAGAGCTATTGCCGCAGTTGCGGCATCTGGAGTTCAAGGTTCACCGGTGCCTAATGGATCGCAGGTAATTGAGTCGTAATTTTAATTAAATTGCAAATTACTCGTCCCCTTTTTGAGTCAGCAGTTGTGCTTTTTGCTGAATGTTTGATACAATAATAAATAATATAAATTTATATTTTAATTATTTAAAAAATTTTTTAAAGTCGGTTGTTCAATTGTAATACGAGTTACTAAATATCTTATCTGATAAATATTATTATCTTTATTATTAGCATTTATTCAAGTATTTAAATACAATTATTTTATTTTTAGGTATGGCCAATCGCGATCCCAAATCTGCAAGTCCAACAAAACGGACAACAAATCTGTCATCAGTCTTTAAGTTCGCCTTCCCAGAATCATGACGTGAGCAGTTGTGCTAGAAATCCTCAACAGAGGTTAAATCAACATAATATGTCAGGCATGTTGATGAGCAACCCGTTGATTATGAATCAGCAGGGTACAAATTTTAATAATATGACTCAACAGCAGCAACAGCTCTTACAGCAGCAACATCAACAACTTATACTACAACAGCAGCAGCAGCAGCAACAACAGCAACAACAGCAACAGCTCATTCAGCAGCATATATCGCAGCAACAGCAACAATCGCAGCAGTTGTTGCCGCATCAGCAGCAGTTACAACATATGCAAATTTTACAACAAGAACAACAGCAGCAGCAGAGCACCGTAGTAAATCAATTAGCGCAACAGCAGGCTCCTCACTATATTAATCAATTAAATCAGCAGTCGTTACATGTAATGCAACAACAGCAACAGCATTTAAATCAACAGCAACAGCAGCAGCAACAACAGCAACAAATGCATTTGCAGCAAATTCAAAAGCACAATATGCAACAGCAGCAGCATTTAGCTCAGGAAGTGGATCAACAACAATCGGCAAATTACAATACTCAACATTCTGTTGAGAATTATGCGCATCACATGCAGCCGTCACAAATATCGAATCAAACCGTCCTTCATCCACAATTGCATCAACTTCATCAACATCAAATGCAACCACAGCAGTCGCAACAGAATCAACACGCTATGCAATCTCAGTCGACGGATCCCTTCCAGATGCAAATTCAGCAGCAGCTACAACAGCAGCAGCAGCAACAACAACAACAACAACAACAGCATCAGCAACAAATGTCGCAAGTGTGCATCCAGCCGCAATATTCAAATCAACAATTGAATCATCACTCCGTAGACATTATGCAACAGCAAACAGGTTCTGCTGTCATGAGCAATATCAACACTATCGACCTTCAAAATAGACATAATCGAACATCGTCAGTTGATGAAGATCTAAACGCGAAACAGTTACAACAGCAGCAACAACAACAGCAGCAGCAGCAACAACAGCAGCTTTTATTACATAATCATTCGATGCAGCGACACCATGTAGTTCAAACTGGCGGTTTACCTAATAATCCTCACGAGAATGTTCAGCGGATGTATGCTCAGAATCAAGTACAATATCCGGCACGGAATTTTGATTCTTCGAAAGGAACGAATACGGATGCCAAGATGGGACATCAACAACAGTTTCTGTCCAATCATACAGGACGAAGCCCGAACGCCAGTCACACCGTTGAGGTGCAGCAATCTGGTATGGGACCAAACGGGCAGTCCGGCAATATGCATTTCAACAATAGAACACCGCCGTGGCAACAAAATCGCGCTGCGGTTGCATCCCATCAACCGTCCGTTGTCACGGTTCAGAATGTTACCTGTAATTCGTTTGACCGTGTACCACCACTTCATCATCACATTCCACAGCCTTCCAATTGGACGGACGAGGCTGCACGGAAAAAGGCAAAGTCGAGTAAAATAATAGTGAAGAAACAGCGACAGCATGGTGTCGCGGAATTATCGAGAACGAATAACGGATTAGAACACTCGACACCGAGTCCAGTAGATGAATTCAGTGAGAACAATCAGCAAAATAACGGTCAGATAGGTTCGACATTCAATAGCAGCGGCCCTTCGTTCCTAGAGGATCCCAGCGGATACCTCGCTCAGCAAACGGCGTTGTTAAACAGCACAATATCACGACAGACCGGTGTCAGTAGTTCCCAAGTGGGCATATTGAACAATAACTCAAAAGCATTATCTCAGACCAGTCATGGTATGCATATGTCTAATACTTATATTCCTCAACCAAAGCCTTCCTGTATCGCCAGTCCCACGAGTAGTACCTCGTCATTCGCTTCCGTAAAAAATCACGCAACTTCACCGGTTGTTGTACACAGTAGTATGACACCGACATCAAGCAGTGGCACGGATTCTGAGAGCAGTCCATGTCAAGGCTGTGTTACCAGTGCCGACACACAATCCTACATTCAAGATCAATATAAGCAGCAAATGCAACGACAGTACCTGATGCATACGGATCAGCGTGAAGATCCTGTTACTTCGTCGACGTTCGGCGAGCGATATCAAACAAATAATCAACCACAAGCTGATTCCAGACCGATACAAGGTGGTACCGTGAGCACCAGTCATGGATCTCCTATCGGCACGAATAGTCCGGCTAATTCGGATACACCAGCAGCTTCGACACCTGGAATTTCGCAGCCGGCAACCCCGCAGAGTCTTATCTCGTCGCAACCAGCGACACCACATAGTTATTCGCAACCGCCGACACCTCATTCTCATGTCTCGGGCCAAATGCCATCACAGACACTAACTCCACAAGCGCAACAGCAGTTATCGCAATCTTTGATCGGCAGCATTCAAGAACAAAGATCAGAAACTCCAAGTTCTGGTACAATGAGTTCCAGTGGTATTCCACCTAGCACGTCGCCATCACAGATGTCCTCTTCTACATCAGATAATTTAACATCACAAGTGAAACGGCAAATAACTAGGCAAAATTCTCTAGATGGCTATCAACCTCATCCACACACCGTCAATGCGGTCTCCAGGATACCTATAAATACCTTTAGTGGAACATCATCCGTGATAACAACTATGGCAAGTGGTCATACAGTTAGCAGTAATACGATTACGTCTGTGTTAGCTGGAAGAGCAAACACGGCCACTGTTTCCATAAACACACCATCTGCGATACCGAATCCCGCTATACCCAGTCTTCTACCGAATAAGATACAGCATCAGGTACAATCTACGGCGTTGACAAATATGCCGGGTACTTCAGTCACGACTCACTCCTCTATTCCACTTAGTCAATCTTCGACGATGAGCGTGTCTAAATCACCCCTTGAAATGGTTCAGAGCGTTGTTAGTAGTATACAAGTACCTCAGACGAGCATAAATTCGTTGCAGCCTCAAACGCAGCAGCAACAGCAACATCAGCAGCAACAACAACATCAACCACAACAACAGCAACATCCTCAAGCTAATGTTCAAGTTCATAACGTCCTCACTTCAGGTGGTATATTGAAACATCCTGCTGGATCGACGCTACCACCTGGTCATATATTGGTATCCAGCGGTGGTCAACTCATAATGGCGAGTACTGGGTCGACTATCAATGGCGTGATGGCGCCTCCTCCACCGAAAATCATTTCTAATGCTAATTCTATGCCACCGCTGTCAGTGTCGCCGATGGTTACCAGCGTGACTGGAGCTGTCAGTCAAGTAATCCCCGCAGTGGGTGTAGCTCAGCAAGTGATAGGGCAACCCACGGTGCTCGTGAATACTATTCAGACTCCAGTGTTGATTCAACCTAGCGTAATGACGATGGACAGTATAGGCCAAAACGTGCAGATACCACATCTGACGGTTGCTACCGGTAACGTCATACAAAACACCCAGTCGATTATTGACGCTAATCAGGACGTGTCTAGAACGGTCGGTGCCAATCAAGGCATGACGGTAAATCGACAACCAGCGCTATTATCGCCGGAATCAACGATGACCAAGAAAAAGGCGTATAAGAAACGAAAAGCGAATCCACAAACCGTGGCGTCGATGCTACACATCGCTTCGTCCCAGCAGAACGCTGGTATGTTGATGCAGTCGCAATCAAATTTCGCCCAGCAAAACTTTCAGACTCAGAGCATAGGCGGACCCATGCTCCAGGCGCTAACTATTGTACCTGGTAAAGGTGGGGCACCAGCGCAACTTGTAATGAATGGTCAAACCGGCGCAGCATCCGCGCAATTCAACGCTCAACAAATAATCACGAATCCTCAACCAACTCAGCAAATAAATCTTCTTCAACCGGTAAACTTATTAAATGGTGCGGCCGGGATGGTTCAGAATTTTCCCACTATTCAGCAGTTTATCGTGCCTGGTTTGGGTAGCATGGTAATGTCTGCGGATGGAACAGCCACGTTATTACAAGATACGGGTAATATTGGGATGCAGTTTCAGATACAGAACGTCAATGGCCAGAACGTATTGACGCCGGTACAAAGCCATAGTGGTATATTCAATCCGAGTCAAAGCATATTAGCCGCTGGTCCAGCCGGTATGGTCATAAGAGCGCCGCAAGCTACTGGTGGAAAGTTAATTCAACAACACAGCCCAGGAGCGCAGTTTCTTTCGCCGAATAGTGGCCAGTTCCTAGTGAACGGTACAACATCCTTCGGGAATCAACTGAGCCCGATAGTTGCCAATGTTAGTCCGAATCAGCAAGTGACATTTAACGCCTCGCAAGTAAGACCGTCAAACATGAGCGACCGCACAAAACATAGCTGTCTCATCAGCGTCGAACCAACAAAATACAACCTTTGTTCAACAGAACACGACGATCGTACAGCAACAGACGACCATGGTCTCGAACAATCAGATACCAAATTTTCAAAGCGCAGCTTCTAATGGCGGACAAACTGTCGATCCTTCTTTAAATCTCGATAATCAGTCGTATATTCTGAGTTCCGGTATGATTCAGGGTAAAGCGGCGTCATCTTCTCCGAAGAGCGGCGTAAATTCGCCATCATCCGATCAAAATGTCGAACAACAACAATATGTGCTCGCTAGTAGTAGCACAACTGTCGTGGAAAAAACGGCTCAACCAAACGAACAGCACAGCCCGTTGATGGCGAGGCATTCTGTATCGACGCAAACCGCAGGGAACCAAACGAACGTGGCGCAATCAACGATGATGCGACAAGGATCTCCTCCCGATACAACCACTCATAGTCCAGGAAACAGTCAGAGATCTAATAGTCCGGCTGTGGACACTACTACACACGGTGCAGCATCGCCAGCGCCTCCAATTACCGCTAGACATCATTCATCGTCTACGGTAAGGAATAATTTAAAGCAAAAGTAGTTTATTCAATTATCTAAAGCATACATTTCATCTCTTATTGAGAAAAAAGAAAAAAAAATTTTTTTAATTTCACACATATTTTTTATTATTGCAGCTAAAAACAAGATTTTTCTCTCGATAAAAAAATAATCATGTTCATTAATTTCCACATGATGCGCAATTTATTTTCAGCCTATGGTTCATTGCGTATCAAGCAGCGAACCGGACTCAGGCGACACACAGGTGGCGTCGGAGGATTGGAGAATGCAGGGTATCGCCACCAAGGAAATTACGTTAAACCAACCGAGTTTGCACGGAAAGACCTACGTAGAGTCGACGGTGACAACTGGGATCCAGGTTGGTACCCACGTAGAGCAGGTCAACCGTCATCTAACTGTAATAGACATGCACCAGCCGGCTGATACGACACACCCAGAAAACACATACGCTGATTCACAGGAGCATATGGACACTTCATCACCAAATCATTCCATTAATTCAGACACAATGGACCACTCTACTGTGGAAGATCAACTAAACGTCAGTAAAGAAATGACGGATGTTTCCTATTCGGAGATCGAGGTCAATCCGTTACCAATTATAGGTCACGGTCATTACCAGCCAATCCTTTATCATGGCCAGCATTATGTCCCTAATGCGAATGTTTATCGACAGCAAGCCTTAGTGCCAGATCATGCTCATTACACTATGTTACCGCAAATTAACGGCAAGTTCGACGACAAATCGTGTGTCGATAGTAGTCGTGTTGGTACTCAAGTCGTGCAACATGTCATGGAGCAAGACGAGATCGAGCAAAATTCCGAAGAGAAATTATTGGAACGATCAAATACCGGCGTTTCTTATTGTTCGCAGAATGTTGGCTATTCGCAAAAATTCGTTGGCATCGGGTCATCCGGCTTATATCCACACTTGTATAATTATAGGTCTGACCCTAATGGTATTGCTGTTGTTAATTACACACCCAATAAGCAAGCCTACATTAATCCATATGTTTACAATCAATTCATATATGCGCAAGAAGGCGATGATGCTGAGGAGAGTGACTCGTCGTCAGATGAATAGTTGCACCTTTCTTTTCGGGCTATAAAATTCATATTAATTTTGTAAATTGAATTCAAACGATACCAGTGGCATTATTAGGTTGCGATTGGTTTATATTCGGTAATATTAAGTTTGTAATTAGTTTGTATTTAATAATTTTTACATCCGCGCTGTGGCGTGAGAGCGCATACGCTGGTTTATTCGTAGCGTTATTATTTAAATCGTATATTATTGCAATAATGTAATTGTATTATTAATCGTGTGTTGATCGGATTAATCAGGAAATTATTCCTTTTTATATAACAACGAAAAAAATAAATTTTTGCTGAACAGTATTTTCTGATAAAAGTTATATGATTCTGAACATATACCTAATGAAAAATTACCTTGCAACATAAGCATGCGTAAACAGAGTTTGAGTTTGTCTCTTTTGGTATCATTATCATTTGCATGTATCGATAAATTAAATTTGTCGCGTGATTTCTGCATTAAAAGCATCGGAGACAAAATCCAAAATACTATAACTTTTAAATCTTCCAAGTAAATTTCTTTTTTTTTTTTAGTTTTGTCTTTTATCGTTATTTTTCTACCTTTTTTTATGTCTAAATTAGAATTTTGCAAAATGCTCTTGTCTCCTGTGCTTAACCGGGAGAAATTGGAAAATTCTTGTAGACTATGATACGGAGTTTTAAAAAAAGAAAAACGATAATAGGGCGGCATTGAATGATACACTGAAATGATATAAGCATGCGATTGGTAGGTTTGTGCCTGAGTTGATCGAGTTGTATTTGACAGATCTATACGTCAGAGACATTGAAGCAAGCCGAAGGTGTGGTGAGCACGGTGAGGTGCGAGGGCAGGGAACATGCCCTCGGCCGCGGAATCAAGCGAAAGCTGGACTCCATCCATTCCATGCATTCTACTCTGCATGAAGACCAAGATGGTCAGTATTGTATGGTACTTTTAGACATTAATCATATACGAGTAGTGTCGCTTAGTAGCAAAAATGTTCTACAAAGAAACTTTGATAATACTTAGCGACAAAACAAGCAGAGCATAGATTTCTAATATTACAAGCTTTTAAAATTTTTAATAAAATAATATACACAATTAAATATTTTCATATATTTTGAAAAAAAAAACGTTAAATATTTTATTTAATTATATTATTTTGTTAGACGTTTCGTAAGAAAGTTTCTTTGAAAGAATATTTTGTATTAGTTGCTGTTTTTGTGACAGTGAGAAACGTAAAACATCGTTGTTTTGCTGATTCATTCGTATTGATTTTTTACTTCACCCACGAGAGAAAGACGATGATTCCCGTTGCTCTTTGTCATTAAATAATTATCGTACAAATATTACTATTAAGAGTGCTTTAATTATACAACTTTTCGCCATCAGTAGAATCAACAATTTAGAAACGTGCTGTAAATTATCAAATCATTTGTATTGTTCAACTTTGCTTGCCGCTTTCATTGAAAATCATGTATGCCATTAATTTTTTTGCACGCTGTAGTAATTTATTTATTAATATATTATATCGCTTATATATGCATGCTTAGTAATATCATTGCATGGTGAAGTACTCGCCTGCTGCATCGTAATTGCTTTGGTAATACCTTTTTTTGCAATATTTGGAGTCTTGCGCACTGGACGCAGGCACAAGAGTGGGCTGAGAAAAATCGCTTTCCTCGTCATATCGAAATTTTAAGTCGGAAGAATGCACCATTTTGTGCGAATTGAGCAATCAGAGTTGAGTTCTCCGAATCAGTCTATGATATCGACTTATTCATTGTAACATCGCATTATTAACCACGTTAACGACAAGTCAAGGAGCGCAGGTAAGTGGCGTCAGTACTAAAAGGAACAGAAACTTTTCGTTCATTACGTACAAATCTTCAACGAATCGCTTGCGGAAATGAAGAAATAACTGTTCTGACATTTGTAAATAATGTTTTCGATGGTTTCTTTTTTTGCGTTTACTAATTGGTTGTCAGGTTTGTTAATACCATTATATCCTCGCAATTACATTCTCATCCGAGTGGCCAAGGGGCTTAAATCATACGTTCATTTCGGAAGGGGTGTGGCTCACTACCGTGTGTTATTTCGACGTGTACCTTGTACATATACACCCTCATGTTTTACATACAGCATGTGCATATCCCCGAGGATGGAAATTTTTTTCAAATTGTTCAGCAATGATTAGGAAGCATTTACAGTTAAAATAATAGTATGAGAAAATATAGTATGAGAGATAAGTCAGATAAAAAATTGATACTGAAACGCAGTCGGTTTACGTATCTATAACAGCGTAGAAAATCTAATTGTTCCATTCTATTTATTTTTACGGGATCGTATTCAAAATTGAATAAATTACATAAAATTTACATTTTTTTATTCCCGTACCAACGGAATTAAGAATAATAAATGTTGATAGTGCTTATAGTCTGTTATAACTTGAAAATCTAATTCCGACAAATAGTTATTCATTCGAATGATGTGTACAAATAAAGAAATATCTTGCGAATAAATAATGGAGAAGGGAATTATAGAATGAACAACATTCATTCGACAAAATCATTGCATGTGCTCGAACCATCTGATATTTCATTCTGCCTCTGATCTCGCCTACCATTGAATGAAGCTACTAATCATTTTTAACGAGCACACACATGCGAGCAAGAAGCACATTGTTGCGATACTACTGGACAAATAGTTGAACCATCAGTTTCGAACATTCCTCTGCGATACGCACCATAAGCATATCGGAACATTTTGCTGTTATGCGTTGCACATTTTAATCAAAATCAACAGATGTATGAGAGGGAAATTACACGATGTTGTATACATTTACGCGTACATTTACATTCATGTATAGTAAAGTTGAATCATTTTTAAGCGACAAAAATTTCATCAATCATTTCGATCATGGTAAATTTGTAGATAATTATGCCAAGTGCATTTATAATCAATACGTAATCAATGTAAGTTCAACATTTTAAAACATTAGATTATTCTTTATATGTCAGAAAAGATTCATATAAAATTAAAAAGTGAGTTCTGTGCGCAATAATGCATATCAGATTCATATCGAAATAGAATTTTAATTTTGTAAGCGCTAATAGTAAAAGAGAAACATAGCTTGTTTCAATGAAAGAGAAAAATAGTGATATGTTATTATATTATTATATATTAGATTTCATTATTAATCAATCCATAATTTAATATTAATTATATTATTAAATTTTGTTTATTAATTAATAAATTAATATTGCAATCTTTACATTTTCAAAATTATACGACTGCGTGACATATATAATTTCCTATCTAATATATCTGTACAAAAGTATTTTTTTTCGGAGATGGGCTTTCTTTATGTTATCTTCTTTTCAATATCGCGTAAATCAGCCGAGATGATAAAAGTCTGAAAAACACCGTGCCTTCTTTGGAACCTTCAGTAGCAGAGACAAAGGACGTAGACGACGGAAACCAATGGAAACTGATGGTCGGTGACCTAGTGTGGGGCGCAGCAAGAGGAAGTCCGGCCTGGCCGGGGAAAGTCGAGTCTTTGGGCCCCCCGGGTACTATGACGGTTTGGGTTCGGTGGTACGGGGGCGGGGTTGGTCGCACCCAAGTCGATGTCAAGGCTCTCAAGTCCCTCTCCGAAGGCCTCGAGACGCATCATCGCGCCCGTAAAAAGTTTAGGAAGTGAGTCAGCCACCCCGACAGGGATGAACTATTGAAAGATGAGAATCTCTTAGAGACGTCTCGTTATCTTTAATAGATATCGCGTTAATGCAAAAATATATCGAGGAGGAAACAGAACGGGAGATGCTTGAGTGTATCTTTTTTTACATTATATTATTTTTTTTTCTTTTCTACGTTCGGCATTCGATCCTAGAGCTGTGACACAGGCACGTTAACTTATTGTTTTATTTAGAATTATTAAATGTTATAAAGTGGAGCACAATGTCGTTTTCTTGAGACTGTGTAAGATGCACGTGATGTTATATGAATTTTAGTTTTACATTTGATTAAATATAGTTATACATTTTTTAAGGGAGAAATAAATAAAGAGTGGTAAGTGCTATACGAGGTAGATCTTCGTGAATTTAATACAAGACATTAATTTTTTTATCGTATTATGTGATGGAAATAAGAGACAGATCATATTTTATAAAATCTCTTAATAATGGACTCGTTTCTAATAAATCTCTTTCTTTTATATGAAATTTCTTATTTAGGATCATGATCGTATAGCATTTATTAACAAGCCAACAGCCAATTAAATCTATCCCGCATAGTTTACTGCATAGCGGTCCAATATTCTTTCTGTTAACTTGCCAAAGAATACTGATACTTTTATGTACTGGATATTACTATATTAAGTGGTTTTATTCCAATCTCAGTCATCTTTCTTCTCATTCCCCTTCCTCTTCGTATTTGTATTAAGGATGTATTACATGTATTGTCTAACAAAATGAAAAAATTATAGATTTTTCTATATTGTATTTGAAAGTAATACAAAAAGTTTGGCGGTGACATAGAACCTGGATCATAATTATTTCAAAAAGTACACATATTTTTAAAAAATAATTAAGATAAAAAGGAGAAAATTTTCATTTAAACTATATAATTGTATTATTAAATACATATTTGGCCTATTAACTATTTCATACGTATACAACAACATTTATTTTTATACAGAAATTGGAAAGTATAAATTTTTCCAGTGCATTTTTCACATAGACTTTATACTTGATACATCCTTAAATATATAACTATGACTTTATAACGATAATCGCGCAAATACGAGTGTTAACAGTATTTAATGCGTAAAAATTTTCCTAAAAAAGAGTATATATATTTTTCTATATGTAATTGATATTTACGTGGTTTCTTTTTGCTAAAAAAGTATATTAGTGTTTAGTTGTTTATTGTCTGATAAGTGATTCATTTATGCTTGACAGAAGCTATTTAGTCGCGATTTGTTCAGCTTTTAGATTCTAATTTTTCTTCTA